AATAAAAAACTCTTTGCTGGGCTATAATCTTCGATGAACAGTTTCTGTGTTTCTGCTTTCCGTGTCTGTACTATCTGGTTGTAATTTGCACTTCCTGTGGGAATGATCTTGTTCAAGAGACCCATTCGCAGTCATGACCCCCTGCTTTCCGTGGCTCCAAAGACAGTTCCTTATACACTCTGGCTTTCTGTCTCATGACGGTTGTCCTCGGCTGGTGTCCATCAGACCACGTTTGCTCAGGATGCTTCTTTCTTGAAGGTAAGCCCAGAACGTTGTATTGTGATCTTAACGCAGGTTGAGTGTAAGCATCTCATCGGTCTTCCTCTCCTGGGTAGTTTTACATTCCCTAGCTCCTTCTCCTAGCAACTCACACCTGACTGTTCACTGTGCAATCTTGCCAATTTAAAAAATCCTTGATTCTTTATGCAACTTTGTTTCCTTAAACGTGTTTACTTTTTCAACTCCATCTTATCTAGAAATCACAGCCCGTTTGAAGGACTCTCCAAACCTCAGGATAGATTCCACCAAAATAAGAAAATTGATAGTTGGAAATCATTATTTTACTGCCTTAAGAACAGTTGAGAAATACTTTATTCAATTCTAAAATTTGATTCCAAGTTGAATCTGGGATGAATTAGATTTAATAGATTGGTCTGGACGCCACAGAGAGTTGAATGTTTCAAAATGTCTTAGCTGGCAGAATGTGAAGAAATTGCCACATTGAAGTCCTCTACCTGGGACCTGGACCATGAAGCCTGGAGGCAGAACCTTCAGGCCATCTGCTTATACCCCTAAGTTTACAGAAGACAGAGCAACTTGATGAAGTAAAACCAGCATGGGCGGAACAGGCAACCAAGGCCAGGAACCTTCCCGCTGGAGGCAGAAGGGAAAGTAGCAGTGAGTGCTTGGCAGTGAATGCCAGTCCACCCGGCTTTTCCGGAACCCCACCACCTACCTGTGCTTCCACTGACCCTCATGCTCAGATATTTGAACAGTGTCGACAAAGCAGGCTAAGTGAATCTCTGTGAAGCCTGATATGAGGCAAATATTTATTTATTTATTTTTTTATCCTCACCCGAGGACATTTTCCCATTTTTTTGTTCAGGTAGAGTGGGAGGGAGAGAGAGGAACAGAGAGAGAGAGAGAAACTTCGATGTGAAAGGGACACATCGAGTGGCTGCCACCCACACGACTGACCAGGGCCGGGGACAAACTGCAACCGAGGTACATGCCCCTAGCGGGAACCGAACCCGGGTCTCTCAGGACCGCAGGTCGACGCTCTAATCACTGAGCCAAACCGGCCAGGGCTGAGGCAAATATTTAAATGAAAAACTCACTGACTTCTAGTGGCATCTGAGTGTGTCCTGCCTGACTACCCCCCAACCCTAATTTAGTTGCTAATGCTCTGTATCTGGGCAAAAAGGGAGGTGTATGTGGGTGAGATCTTTTGCCCACGGTCTCCTAAAACAGCCACAGGCTACCAAACGATCACGGTGGTGGCTTTCAAAGGCCGTCGGTGTTTGCAGTTCAAACCTTGTGGGCATTCGGACACCTTGCAGGGTTAACCGAAATGTGCCGGTTGCTGTTGTGAAAACTGAACTCTGTTCAGGACTTTTTGGACTTTGAGGTTTATGTGAGCAGAGTCACATTTGGAATATATATTTGATTTACAGACAGGCTGTATTTCAGAAGGTTGTAAGCTAAATGTTTGGCACTCAGCATGCATTTCTCTTTAGAATGATGTTTTATTTGGTGGTCCAGTTCTCGGGCCAGCCCGCAAACAAACCTTTATGCACAATGTTGCCTTGTGCATGTGTATTTGCAATAAAAATAAAGCTGGGACAGTTGCTATATGAGTAATTTAATAAACAGAAACAAACCATTGTGTTAAGTATGCTCTGTGAAATGCTGATACGTTTCATTAGAGGGAAATGCAGAGAGTGTGCAGAGGCTCTCGGGATTTCCAAGGTTTTAGAGCTGGTGCCACTGGTTCCTTCGAGTGGGTGGCCTAGACACTGTTCTGAGGAAATCTGACGGTTTCTTTTTCATTAACACATTTCCTCAGGAATCTGTGAGAGCTGGAAAGAGGCAGTGAAGAAGGCAGCTACTTTCAGTGGTCAGTGGGCAAAAATGGAAATATATTCAAGAGGGAGAAGTTAACTAAAAAAAGTATGGGAACAAGAAAGAAAGGGATTTTGTTGAAAGGAAATTAACTGAATGGTTGAGGAGGAAGACGTAGTTGGACCTCTGAAAACCCTCCAGAGGAAGTTTTAGAAAGTTGGAGTGGTGGTTCCCCCTCTGACACGTCCACGCTTGGGTCTGTTGGTGGCTAGTCCAGTGGGGACTGGGGTGCGCTCAGAAAGGATTTGCAGAAAATGGACTGCTCACAGAGGCAGAGATTCTAAGAGGCACTGACCACTTACTTGCAAAACTCATAAAGACACTGTAGAACCAAATAGTAAGAAATTTTACCTTCGTCCACTCAGTGGGTAAGATTTAATACTGGGACTTAGTTCTTGCCTATACAAATATACTTCTGCCTCCCCATACCTTTACTGAACCACTCTGTTCTTCTTAGCGAACCAAGTTTGAAAAATGACTTTAGGTGATTAAAAACAAAACCATCTATGCTCTAATTTTTTTTTTAAAACAGCAATTAGCTTTGATGAAGAATCTGAAATTGATATTAAATTTTAAAATTTCCCAGACCTTTTTTGAAAATTACAAGATATAATAATTTATTCCTTGATAACTTCCAATTCCTATTTAAGACAGAGAATAGACATTAACTTAGAGTTATCTAGTTAGAAATAAACTGCCAAATAAATTAATAGCAACTTCACCCAGAAATTATTTAATATCTTAAAAGTACTCTTGTTTATAGTTACTAATATAAAATATACCAATTATCAATTTTTAAAATGTAATTATTGATAAAAGCTCTTTGGACTCTCTGGGTCATGCTTACTGAATATAGGTAAAAGTACTCCAAGAACCTGAAAGTAATAACATTTCAAGTGTTCCATGAATTCAGAATTTTAAGAATTCATGAATTGTAATAATTCGTTAGTTTAGGAAGCTACTATTTCATATTGTAATAACATCTTTTTACATTAACTTCCCACAGCTTGAGAAGTTTATAAAAGAAACATAATAACGTTGCTTTTTAAAAATCACTAACCATGGACAGATTTTATTTTATTTTTGTTACAGATGTTTCTCCTTTTTTACTCCATTGACATCCTCCTCCCCATTCCCCCCATCCCATCCCCGGCTTTGTTGTCCGTGCCCATTGGTTATGCATACATGCATATAAGTTCTGTGGTTTATCTCTTCCCTCCCCCCACCACCCCCTCTTCTGAGGGTTGTCAGTCTGTATGTGGACAGATTTTAAATCAAAGTCTATATGGTAAAGACTAACTGGGTAGCAGGGAATACAGGTGTTCAGTATATACCACCTCTCAGTTTGCATGAATCTGTCAAAACGTAAGGCAAGTTATGTGTACTGTTCCAGTCACTATAAATGATTGTTAATTGCAATGAAGAAACAACAACTCACAAACACCATGGTGCACATTAAACAAGTTACATAATATATACAAACACATATAAATAGTGTCAGATATAAACTAAACATTACACCCAAAGAGTTAGAAACCTTCTGCATAATCATGTGCTCTAAGAATCCACGACGAAGTAGAAGCCATGTGAACGGCAGAACAGGACACGTGAGTGTTTCAGTTATTTGGATGTTCTACACGAACACCTGCAGATGTTATTTTATAATATAAGATACTGTCTATGAAGACATGGAGATGTCAGTGAAATGCAGAGAGAGGAAATGGAAAAGGAAATCCCAGGGCGGAAGTATTTTAAATGATTCTGTGGAATACAAGTGGTCGTCTTTATTATTTCCACATAAAGAAGGAGGCTTGATGCCCCATAAATCTTTTAATACTGCACCCCCTTATGTCTTCCTCTCTTTGAACAGAAGGCATGTTAGGCGGGAAAAAGTAGCCTTTCACACAGGCAATGTCCCAGGGCCCCTGGCTGACAGCAGAGCGCGCCCTGCATGCTGGCTGGCTGAGCTGCGTGCTCATGAAGCCTGACCTGGGCACCGCTTCTCACAGGGACACTGTGTCTCTGCAGCCACCAGAGAAGGTTCATTCTTAAGTGAAGTTCTCTTGTGAGCGCATCTGATTAACAAGGGTTCTTTTTGTAATTCCTTCATTCAAATGTGACATTTTCAATGGTTCATGCTAATTAATTTCTTTCCTTTCCAGAAAGAACCCAAAGCCAAATTCGGAACTTAATCTGGATGGGATTCGCTCCATGGAGACTCGAGCTTCTTGCTGGCTGAAGCGTGACCAGCAGACCAGCCCCGTGGCTACCAGGCAGGTGTTTACAGAGAGGCAGAGTCTCAGGCCCCACCCGGCCCAGCATCCTAGACTCCCAGGTGATTCAGATGCACTTAAGGGTTTGAGGAGCACCGCCCTCAGCTTCATTATAAACTTCACTAAAGAAAGGGGTCCTGAATATTCCAGTCTGGGGGTTCTCAGGGTACAGTGATGGCCTTTGGCAAATTATCGCATTTCACCGCTCACTATTGGCAACAGCTGGAAAAGCTGTTTTGGCTGACATCCTCGTGTCTTTTGGCAATATACCAAAAAGACTTCAAAAATAGCATTTTGTACAAATTCTCCGAAACATGACATGTCTATTTATGATTTGGGTTTGGTCGTGCTGCTAGTCAAATGATATATTAAAAGTACATATTGAAATAGTCTAAATAAATAACAGGTCACCATGAACAATAACACTGAGAGAGATTTCAGTTTTCTAGGAGTGACATTTTAACTATAAAACTGAAAGAACAGATCTGATTAGTTATCATGGAAATAACTTATAATTACTTTCTTATGTTTTCTATAAGCCATGGTTTTTGTTTTTTTTCTTATCGTAAACAGGAAACAAAGCTGCAGCTTAGACCAGGCTCCTACCTTGATATCCTGCGGGTTGATATCTGGATTTGTTTGACATCGTAGAGGTCCCAGGGTTTGAATATGAAAAATATAAAGAAGAAATTCATCCCTTGCAGAGAATGGCCAGCCCACCTCCAGAAGGGTGTCACTGATGGCGCTCGGTCCGATATTGTGCAGCTACAAGCAAGAACACATCATGCTGGTGCATCAGGCAGGAAGATGAGATCAGACTCCACATACTCTCTACCACTCTAGAAAGCATGACTTTTGGTTTTAAGTCATCTGGACTAGGACTGTGAAAAATAGGAAATAGAGTCTCCAAAAGCAAGAGGAGCTCTGGAAGTAAGACATGCTGGTCTTAGCGAAGACTCTTCAGTCGTTGAGGCTCTCAGAGCAGATTTCCTCTGCAAAGACCACATGGACCCTGTCTGGTCGTTGTGAGGCTTACTTTACATTTATATTAATTTAATCGCAGTGCTAGAAATGCAATTTGAATTATATGCTTTCAAAACCTAGTTATTCTTTCTTTACATTGAAATGGCCTCTTTCCTGACTACTGACTTGTCAATTGCAACCATATGCCACGCACTCTCTTTCCCCCGCTGGAAACACGGCTATCCATCACGTGCCAAAGGCCCAGGCTCACCACAGTTCACTTCAAGTGCGCATTTCAAAGCTGAACTCCTGTTTTAATCAGTGAATCACAAGGAAAGAAAGGCTGAATCTCATAAAGAGATGAACATTTTAAACAAAAGAATCCTGTACTCGCAGGACACAAAACAGCTTATGGAAAACACTAAGTGTATTTAAATTTATTGTGGTCTTAAAAATTCAGAGTTATCAGGGGACCTTTGCTTTTCTGTGTTTTTGTTTTTCAGAGTTCTGACAGTTGTCATGGTTAATAAAATAGTTATAATTAGTTCTCCTTATTAGGTGGCCCACTTAACTCACATTATCAAAACAATGTGGCATCCATTGATAGCAGAATATTTTTGAGATGTGTAACAAGCAGTTGATGATTGCTTTTGGAACTACTGGTTATTACCCTAAAATTTTATGATCCATTTATGCTAAGATTAGAAGCAGGCTTGCCCTGAAAATGATTGCATTTGAATATATTTTCAAACTTTAAAGTTTCACCATTCTTAAGCAGAAACTACTGCACAGAAAGTTTAATAAACTATATGCCAGCTTTCTTTTTTTTCTCCCAGTGAAGTTCTTAATCCAAGTAGGCTTGGGGACTATGTTATCCTTTTTCTATCAAGAGAGCTTAAGGCAAAGCTTTGATCCGGCTTTGGACAGGGCTTCAGATTCCGAATGGCAAGGCTGGGCAGACAGAGGTGTTCGTGTCGACACTACACAGGAGTTGATGCAACCTTCCCATCTATGTAAACAGCTCATCAGCTTTGAAATGGCATTACTGTTACTGTAGAGAGTGAGGTTTGAGATGAATGTCATAGAATTATTAAGCCAGTGGCACGGGTTACATAGAAAAGGGACAGAGGGCTTTAATCAAGAAGGAACCTCAAACAGAAAATGGCTTGGAATATCATTTTTACCAAAATTCCACTCCTGATCCCTTGAAAACGGACAGGAATACCCACTCTCCACTCAGAGCATTAGCTCTATTAAAAAAAAAAAAAAAAAAAAAGCCCGGCCAGTGTGGCTCAGTGGTTGAACATTGAGCATTGACCCATGCACCAAGAGGTCACCAATTTGATTCCTGGTCAGGGCACATACCCAGGTTGTGGGACCAATTCCCAGTGGAGGGCATGTTGGAGGCGGCAATGTTCTCACTCATCGATGTTTCTATCTCTCTCTCTCCCTCTCCCTTCCTCTCTTTCTGTTTGAAAATCAATAAAGAAAAAAGTTTTTAAAAAGAATAGCTACTAAACTAATCATTTACTCTATCTTGGTTTCTAACTGTAAAAAATTTAAATGTTTCAGGTGATGTATGAGCAAAGCTCTTCCCTATTCACTATTCAACACTTGAAGTGGGAAAAGATGACCAGGGTTTACTCATGAGCCACTGGCTTCCTTCTGGAAAATACTCATTACCAGACTACTTCAAATCTCAGAATAAGCTATTCATGTCTAATTGGGCTTATTTCAATGACCAGTAAAATTATTCTGATCTGTCTACCATCCACCCATCATATGTATTATATATGCATTTTTTTGGTATAACAGTGACTAATCCATAAAATTATCTCTGTCTGATACCTTCTGGTTGGTGACCTTCAGTTTAAGATGTGGGTGGGTTTTAAGGATATCTAAAAATGTAAGAATAAGGGAAATGAAGTCTAGCGAGCCAGTCATTTTTATGCTTAGGTTGTCTAAACATTAAAAAGAGAGGAAGTAGCCCTGGCCAGTTTGGCTCAGTGATTGGAGCATCAGCCCACAGACCAATGAGCTGCAGGTTCAATTCCGGTCAATGGCACACACCTCAGTTGCAATTTGTTCCCGGCCCTGGTTGGGGTCATGCGGGAGGCGGCCACTCAATGTGTCCCTTTCATGTCCATGTTTCTCTCTCTCTCCCTTCCTCTCTCTCCCTCCCACTCTATCTGAACAAAAATGGAAAAATATCCTCTGGTGAGGGTTAAGAAAAAAGAAAAAGAAAAAGAGAGGAAGTAAAAAATATAAAAAAAAACAACAACAAAAAACAGTAACAAGATAAAATGCTTTTCTCTATATAATGTCTCTCACCACTAAAAAGCAAGCGACCATATAGTGGTTACTTAACAGGACACACCACCAGCATCCACTGCAATATGATAGCAGAACAATACACATCTAGGCAGTATGTGAAGCTCAGGTACTTCTATTGTTGTCTTTTAAAAAGCTATGAAATGTTTATTAGTAAAGAGCATAAGAATAAACCCCTAACACAGCTTCAACAGAGACAACAGCTACCTCATAAATATGTTCCACCAATGGTCCAACTCCCTCCTCTTTGCGGGGCTCCTCTTCTGGTTCCCAGTTATGAATGGGCAGAACAATCTGCGGAGGGTGGGAGACTCTGAAACATGGAACGTTACATTAACTGCTGATGACGGCACACGGAAAGAATGTTTCAGTAGTGTACAGTACAACAGGACCAGGAAAAGTGGCTCTCAATTTATTCGAATAGATACTGCCTATAAAGAAAACAGTATTGAATGTGATGTTCAGCAAAATAACTATAGGAATAGTGAAGGGTTGGAAACATCCATCATGGGCTCTTAATTAGCAGTCTCTAGCTCAGAAATTGGCTATTTTACAGTATCTCATCTCTTGGCCACTAGGGGGCAGAACAAAGAGCATTTCTGAGTTGAGATGGATAATTTAACATATATGTATATAAATATATACAATTATGTGTATTAGATCCTGTGTAAGTGCAAGTGTGTGTGTGCATGCGTGTATATGGAATATCTAATTCCTACTTTAAGCTATATCAAGAAACAGAACTTTTTATGTGAATAAAAATCTAGAATTCTGTGTGGTGTGTTACATGTCCAGTTGTGAACATTAACTAATTTCCAGTTAAATACTTCATAGTAGAAAAATAACCACTTGTATATTTCCTCTTTCCTATATTTCTTTGGCTTCCCATTAATTCACCCAAAGCGCTCAAAAGACCAGGCCTGGAGCCAAAGCAAAATAAAGCCTTTTCGTGCTCTGGAGTTGCTTTATAGATAACTCAACAGTGAGTGAGAGAGTTAAATGATGTAATCATGTAAGTAGGATATTAACTTGACAACTAGGTATTCTTGCCTGAGACTTACACCTAGAGCATGGGCACTGGATGAATGAAATACAATATACGGCATTATTCCATATCAAAAGCTGATTATAAACCAAATACCAAATGATTATTTTTATACAAACTTAAAAAGGATAATAATTTTCAGAAACTCCACAATGTTTTCTAGTAATTTTCAGCTAAAGATATGTTTAAAAGAATTTCTAGCCCTGGCCGGTTTTGCTCAGTGGTTAGAGTGTTGGCAGGTTGTGGGCCTGGTCCAAGGGTGCCTGCCTAGGTTACAGGTTCTATCCCCGGCCCTGGTTGGGGTAGTACAAGGGGCAGCCAAAATATGTGTCTCTCTCCCATCTCTCTCTCTCCAACCTCCCACCCCCCTTCCACTCTACCTAAAAATCAATGAGAAAGTATCCTTGAGTGAGGATTAAAAAAAAAAAAATCTAGATCTTCAGTTAAGAGTAACTTCAACATTATCTTTTCTGGCAATCAGCTGTCTAAAATGCCCTTTAAGGGTATCTGGTAATTAACAGCCTCCAGCAACTTTAAACGTTATCTTTTTTCCTCCCTCTGGTAAGCAGAAAGTAAGCTATTGGGTTAAATTCTGACCCAAGGGCAAATAATTTAATGTCTGTGTGTCTCTATATCCTCATCTGGAAAATTATGACAAACTTTATGGATTGTACATAACAAATAATTGGAAAACACCTCAAATGCCTTTGGTCAAAGTTAATGTGGCTGCATTGTGTTCCAGGGGTGGGAAGGAGAAGTACATTTTTAAAACTGAAAACCACAGAAATGTACTGAATTGTAAAGTCTTTTGCATTCATCCTTAAAGTGTTACTATTAAATAAAAAGCACAGAGCACAGCCTTGCTGGGCAGATACCTCAACATTCTCTACCCTTAGAGTGGTTGTTGCTATGCCATGGTCCCTTCCCTACTCGATGTGATTAAATCCTGGTTAGAGCAAACGCAGGGAGCTCGGTAAAGAGTCCACGACAGGACAGGTTTCCTTCATCAGAGGGCAGCCCATAGAGCTGGAGCTTCCATTCCCATATGGTTTTGATGACCTCACCACTCCAAGCTTTACTTTGCTTTTAGCTTCTTCGCTTGGCAACAACAGAGAGTTGGTTCCATCATGCCTACATCCATTGTGAGGCACTAGGAAAACTTTTTTTGTTGTTGTTGTTCTTATAAACATCAGCCCTAAAGGACTGGTCATACATCCTCTAGGACCACAGATCTGGGGCCAGTATTCTGTGCTCAAAAGCCCTCATTTTATAAATGAAATAAAAACTGATCTCCAGAGAAGTTGAGGGTTAGTTACCAGAGAAAACTACAACTCAGGTTTACTCAGTACCACCCACACTGTCTCCAGCATACAACACACCACAGGAGCCACTGAGCTGCAGTGGTTTTAGTAAACACAACTTAAAAAGAAAATTCCAAGTCCATTTCTGTAACAAAATCAAATAAAAATCTATAAAGAAACCTAGCACAGGGCATGGAAAAATCACTGAAAAAGTATGACTCCTACAGCTCACTGTCTGCCTTCTGAAGACCTTTCCTAACCCGAGGAAGCATGGCAAAGAATGGCTCTAGAGACCCCAACTAAATGAGTTCACTGTTTTCAAAGTAATTATTTTTTTAGAAGGAAAGGAGAAAGACTATCAATAACTAATTAGTCCTGGACGAACAGCCAGTGCAGTAACCCAACAACCATATGGAAGAGCCCTCCCTTTCTAAGATAGGGGACAGAGCATGACTCTACAGAGACCTCGAGGAATGAGAAGATTTGGGTGCTCAGTGCTAGCACTGGGCATTAGGAAGGGCTTTGAGGGAAAGCAATGAATTAGGTTTTGATAAGTTAAAGTCTCTATGTTGCCAATCAGTTGAAATCTGATGATGCAGTAGTATGGCATGAACCTTATTTTCATAACCCTGTTTTCAATCTGTCTTGGTCCAAAATAGCAAAGACTACCATTTATGGAATAGTATTGGCTGTGCCTGCCGTAGACGGTATCCATGCAAATATTCATGATTATAGGCTTTCTGAACACAAACCCATTTAATGCTGATTATTCTAGAAAAGATAGATTTTTATTGTTCAAGATCTCAATCTATGTGGTGCTGCTTCTTGCGGCCAAGTTTACTTCTTACATACCTATGCCAAGTTAACCCTCTGTGCCAAAAAGCGACCTTAAGTCTGCCTAAAGGCAGTGTTGACATTACCTGGCTTTGAAACAAATAAAACAATTCCCAATATTTTCCCCATTCAAACAAAGAAATCCATTTGAGTTTGTTTTTAAAATTATATAAACAGTGGTAATTTTTTTTTAAAGAACTGGTAGAGATAGTGCATGATAACATACACTGGAATAAGGATCGTTGGCCAAAAAGAAAATTAAATTTTCCTGAAGAGTGAACATAGATTTTCAACACAGTAGTTATTTGTTAAGGATTGAACATTGGAACTAATGTTTTTGCTGAATATTTGGAGGAAAGAGTTTCATTTTGTTAAATGAATAAAAAGAACTTTTAACACTACCTTAGAGAAAAAAATATGGTCAATTTTTGAACATTAATCTAGCAATTAAAATAATTGTACCCACATGAGAAACCTAACTTTAATTATCTGTTTTGATTATTGGCAAAGTGAATAGAAATTTCCTACTTTTTTACTTAGAAACATTAGCACAATGATGACAGAAATACATTTTAAAATATTAATCTCATAAAATGAATATGTGAGACTAAATGGAGTTATATTAATTCCTTAGCTGCTCTGGGCTGAGTTATCTCTTATGGAATAAAAGCAGTTCCCAACTTAAAACTTATTTTGGAATTAAACAGTTTCAATTTATTTTTGGTTAACAAAACAAAGATAAGCTAAATATGAAGAAAGAGAAAATTTTATATACACTAGTTATGATTTTTTGAAAGATAGTAAATAATAATGCTTGTGTTTCTTTCTCTGATTTTAAAAATAGTGTTTTTCTTATCAAGAACAGGGGATAGGGGAATTAAACTAGAAATGCACAAATGTAAAATAGATTAACTCCAAATATCTGTAAATCAAATAGGTCACTTCCTATGAGTCAACTCATAAGTTAAAGAGGAAATCACAAAGGAAATTAGAAAATATTTTGAAATGAATTACAATGAAAACCCAACATATCAACACTTTAGCATGTTACTACAGCAGTTTTTAGAAGGAAATTTATAGCACAAAATGCTTATGTAAGAAAAGAAGACAGGTCTCCAATCAATGATCTAATTTCTACATAGAGGAATGAGGGGGGAAAAAAAGAGAAAATCCAATCTAAAGTGAGCAGAAGGAAGGAAATAATAACAATTAAAGCAGAAACTAATGGACTATAAAATAAAAACAAATAATAAAAAGATTTTTAAAATTCAAAAAAGTCAATGAACAACAACAAAATGGTTCTTTGAAAAAAAGATCACTGAACTCTAGACAGACTGATCAGGGGGAAAAAAAAGGTAGAAAATAAAAATTGCCAATATTGGGAATAATGAGGGAGTATCATTAGAAGCCCTACAGACAGTAAAGAAAATGAGAGACTATTATGAACAACTATGTGCCAAACTACGTAACAATTTAGATGAACTAGACACATTCCTTGAAAGACAAACTACTGGGAATTCCAAAATGGCAGCACAGTGAACGGAGCTACACAGACCGTCTCCCAGAACCAAACTGGAATTACAACTATAACACAGACAAATCGACGGAAAAAAACACCGGAAAAGCAGCTTGCGAGGACCATACAATGAGGGACACTGACTCCATCCCGGTAGGCTTGCGAAGGCGCGAGACGGGGCTGGGAGCCCACGGTCGGCAGCTCGGCAGCGGCCTCAGCTGGGAGCAGCGCCCTCGGGTCACACTCCCAGGCGGCCCCACAGCGCAGCCGGGACAGAGGCTGAAACAGCCACAGCCACTCACCTTGGGCTCCGGCGGAGGGAGGGCAGACTGGACTGGAACTGTGTCAGGACACTAGGGATTTGGAAGGCACTCAGAGCTTTTGCTGAGTTGCTGCCACGCAGGACGGTGACCATATTGCTCCTTCCCAGGGCTTGGGGAGAGGCAGCAGCCACTCCCTCGGAGATCCAATACCAACCACTAGGCCATTGAAGTGCTAATTGCAGGTCATTAACAACCAGCATCTGCCCCACTCTCGTAAAAGCCCCTTGGCTGAGCACCTGAGGGAGTTTTTCAATCAACTGACAACCCAAAACTCATAAAGTAACCAGACTGCTA